ACGAGTCATGTGTTTGTGCGGACCGATAAAGTGAAGCCTCCTCTTACACCTCCTTATACCGGCCCCTTTAGAGTGTTAGAACGAAGTGATAAGTTTTTAACTGTGGATGTCCAAAATGTTCCTCAGCGAATTTCCATGGACCGACTCAAACCAGCATATATTCCAGCGGCCCAACAGGTGCAGGAAGAACATGCATATGCCAACCGTCTGATGAACAACACAGGTCAACATAGCCGTTCGAAACCAGCAAGTTCCTCACTGGAGGGGAGCCCTGTGGCAGATTGACAGTTAATCTCCAGCCACACATGGGTTGACTGTGCTACCGAAGTGAGGGAACGTCGACGGAGAAAAGAAGAGGAGAGAGGTGTCAGCTGATGTCTGCCAGCACGAATATCATCACACTACGAGGCAACAACGAAAAGAACTCTTACAGTTTTCTTACTTGTTTTTAGTATGTAGTTATCGTTAATAAAGCAATAAAACAGTTTAAAGTGTGCCCAGACTACCTTGCTCCCCACAAACAGGCCACAGCACCATATAGGGCAGTCCAATGACGTATAATATATAGACTCGGTGAACGCTTAAAAAATGTCCAAAACATGAATACCTTTGTTATTGTTTATTGTTTTGATACGAAGACGCACGAAGTTCATGATTTCTTACGAAGCATCACGAAGTTGATCTTATGTTTGAAAACATCATGGACGTATGAAAACATTTTCTCCATTTTGTGTGACAAGCAAATTTTATTTTAAATTGTTGAGAGTCATTTACTTACTATTTTAGTAAAATGCCATACTATTTTATCAAAATAATTATTTCTTTTATAGACGAGAACAAAAAGAAATCATAAATATTTAATTTTAATTAAAAAAATAATTATTCTCATTAACATATAAATGAGCACGCCGCTGTTCTGATAAACATACCTTCAACCTTGAGCCGAGATCTTTCGGACACTTGATTCTATAGCGAGACTAGGGGACTGCGTAGTCTATATATTATACGTCATTGGGGCAGTCCAACGAGCTGTCAAATTAAATCCAAAACAGTGATGTTCTTTGGTAGGGATTATCCCTTTTTCGAGGGATTTTTTGAATCAAATGGGATAAAGGGATTTTTCTATCAAAATGAGGGATATTATCATATTAAGCAAAATAACTTATTTCAGTACTTATTTAATTAATATCTACACCATGTGACATCTATCGGGCTATGTGACTTACAAAACCTGTAAGTAATTTAAATTTTAATGATGATATCTACCTGGGTTACAGTTTTTTAAGTTGAGTTCTTAGTACAGATCACCTAACTCCTTATTAGTAGTCTGTGGTTCTTAGCATAAAGTAAAGCATGATACTATAATAACAAGATCGGATCTTCCCGTAGCACAAAATAGGTCGTGTTCGTGCATGCCGTCATTGGAGATTGGAATTTGAATTCTTGTTAAAGTTAAATTTGATTTGTATGCATTCTGTGATAAAATTACTAGACGAAAATAAGTTAAGAGGTTTAGTAATTACAATAATCGTACACATAAGAATATCTCCAAACTATTTATTAAAGATTATTTATTGATACATACAAAAATCTGACATTTCGAACGTCAAACTCTCCAATGACGTCACGACTTATGCGCAATATCTTATCTTCTTAGTCTTTATATCATGGCATAAAGCAGAGATATGTATAATATATCTCTGGCATAAAGTGACCACAGACTGACATTGACCCATTGACAAATAACTGTCATCTTTCATAGGTAATTGAATAATTGACAGCTGTCTTACGATGTCTAAGCGGTGTTTGATGTATCAACCACATTCTAAACTTCTAGAAAAAAATGTATTTTTGATAAGAGTAATTGTGGTTTATTACCAAAAATATAAAATTTTAAGCTGGATTTATAGTTTGACGTACTGTAGACGTAGACGCACTGGAGACGTAAGAAACGGACTGTAAATATTTTTTCAATTTATAAATGGACGTAGTGGAATTTTTGCGCATGAGTAAAGACAAGAATTGGTGACCAACAACATTCAATATAACCTATAAATTATACAATTATAGAAATCAGAATTCATAATAAACAAAGGGTGTGTGTTTATACTATTGTTTATTATAATATTTTTTTTTATCCTTTTTGCGTGTTAGAATGGATTGTGAAATAAACGAAGGTATGCTCCTTGGCGCTGTAGGATTGCTGCTGTGCTGTGTGCAGTAGCATTGCAAAAAACTAGAAGGACAATGATAAGGCGACTAAGACGTTATAAAACAAGACCAATAAACCGTAATAGAAAAATAGAGAATGCTTATAATTATTTTTTAAAGATGAAGACAGAAGATCCAGATCAATTTTTGGCATATTTCAATATTGGTGCAATGAACATAACCCATTCTTTCTTTTGATTGGTCAGACGTAAGAAACGCACTGTAAAAGTTGAAAGTTGACCAACTCTTCCGTTACAGTGCGTTTCGCTTACGTCCCGTCTTGCGTTTATGTTCATTTATAAATAGGAGTACACAAAAGTCTATGTTGATCTTTTTCCAGTGCGTCTGCGTCTACAGTCCGTCAAACTATAAATCCAGCTTTAGCATAACCACGTTTAGTTTACCAACATTTTTTCATGTTATACGTTATTGTACATACTTTTTATTATATACATTTTTTATATTCGTATTTTTTATATTTCATATTTTCAATTAAAACTTTGAAAAATTACGAAAGATGTATTATTTATCCTTTGGTTTAATTTGATATATATTGTGTGTATATATATATATATATATATATATATATATATATATATATATATATATATATATATATATATATTTTTTTTTTTTTTTATATATTCGTTTATCTCGACAATGCTATTGCAATGTATAGAAATGTGTGTTCGCTTCGCCATCTCGCGATAAACGAAGGTACCTATTGGGGAGGGATCGGAGGGATATTCGTTTTGTTTCCAATCATTTGTTACTTCAGAATCTCAACTATCGTTGAGTTGGCGCCCTTCTTTTTCTCTTCTTATTGTTCTCTTTCTATAAATTTATTCCCAGTGACCTTCTTTAGTTGTATCACGTTTGATATTACCAGGTCTCATTTCGTTTCTTGTCTCATTAGCTCAGTATCTTTGCTATCTGTTTATATCTTTAAAGCCACAATCCAGTGCATTGAAGCTAGCCCGAACACTCACTTGAGATTTAGTGTCTCTTTGGCCATTTAACTTTGTTCCTCTGAGCTTAGCCATATTTTTAGTATTTTTCATTACTTCGCTTCCAGTTCTTCTGGAATTTGGAAGTCTTACACTTCCTAAAATCCAATACTCCCGGAGTATTAAGGTTTCAATACTTGACTTTTAAGAAAGTTCTAGGTTCTTCTCGGTCAGCATGTTCCTCTAGTTGTACACATATGTTTTAATTATAATTATTTTTGCCCCTTCTGCACAAGTGTTTTATAGTTATATTTATGGTAAGAAGGGTAAGAATATCAAAGTATTAAGATATTTTAGTCCAGGTGGATCCCTGACGTAATTCGCCTTTGTGAAATACCACCACTCTAGTCATCGACGGGAAATCACATAAACAGTTAGAGAAAGATAAACTAGAAACCAAAAATCGCCCGATGGGTGACGCCAATACATACTTTAGCCCAGGTAGATCCCCGACGTAATTCGCAGTTCGTGAAATTTCACCACTCTAGTTTCCGACGGGAAATCACAAAAACAGAATTTAGTGATTCCACGAATAGTATGATTTCCAAGTAGATGATATAATATTTGCAATTTTGGAAGGTTTATTAAATAAAACTGATTTTTTAAAATATTCTTACAAATATTAATAATTCCCTAGATTTTTCATAGAATTTAATAAAAATCCCTTTTTCGCTAGCTGGCTCAAAATTCCCTAAGTATAGGGAAAATTCCCTAGGTCTGGTAACGCTGACACAAATATCAATGAATGTTTTTGGAGTGAACAATAAGATCTCGGAAATATCCGAAGCAAAAGCGACAATGGCACAGAGTACCAAAATAATGAGATGTAGAATTATTTATTTATAAATAAATATTTTATAATATATTATATAAATATTTTATATTATAGTAATGAAAGTCGCAATGAAATATCCGTTTCTACATGTTGCAAGCAACATGACACAGGGTTACATGGCAAACCTGGTTCCCTCTAAAACATGGCGGAACGTCTGCGCGAAGGAGATGCGCGTACACTTCATCTAATTTATATAACGATGTACGTCATCGGCGTCATAGCCTGTGGCGTCACATGATACCAACACAAAATATTTAGGGTGTAGGTGTGTTCTTTTTTAGAACCACTTTACCGAGTACACTAACATTACAACCACTAGACATATTTTATTATATACGCGTAGAAATCATATTTAAAAATTTCTATTAATGTAACTTGAAGAAATACACAATAATATGTTTCATTTAATTTGTATAAATGCATTATAAAGCGCTTTTATCAAGAACATTTGTTCGGAACACACTGTAACTGTAATCGAACGAAGGTAAAATTTTGGCATACATTGATAAAACTTATTTGACAGTTGCGGTGTTGACACTTTTTATACTTCATTATTTTGAATTTTAAAGTGAATATCTCTTGTTTTATATTTTTAACTATCTAATAAAATCTGTCCTTTTTAGAACAAAATTAGTGTGTTTTATTTCAAAAATGTCACGTAAGAATTTAAATAGTCGTTGTAAAGAGATGGTAATACTTTTGCAATAATTATGTAATCTATTTGATTTAAAATGGTGTCAGGATTTTTTTATACTTTGGCAACTATGTCAACTTCGATCTCTGACGTAGATAATGACGTAAGTCGTTATCTAAATTAGATGAAGTATACTTAATTTTCCATCGAGAGTGGGCATTCTGATTGTTTATTATTCTGTCACGGCACCACAGAATAATAAATAATTATTCTGTGACGACACCACTTGACGTTCCACTTTCCACATTGTGTTGTATTTGTTTACAATTGGTTAAAAGGGCGGCATATGATTAAATTTGATTGTTTTCTATTTATTTCAAGGCAAGGTTAAATATTTTCAGTACCAAAAGAAAATACAATGAATATATCATCGTAAGTAATGAAGCATATGTATTTTATTAGTTTTTGTATAAAAGGAATTGTTGTAGGCCGGTCAATAGAATTTTGCATTCTAACAGCTCTTCAATTTTGGAAAGAAGTATAGTCATAAGTAAAACCAAGCGTTCAGTCAAAGAAGACTTCTTATGGTTTACTATTAACATTGTTTTTCTGTCTGCTATTTTATATGATTTGTAAGTATAATTTTTTTTTTATTTCTATAAACAACTACTAATGTGATTTTCATTACAAGAAATAATTGTGGCTAATCCCATACAAACAATATTAAACATATTATTTTGACAACACACAAATAATATTAAACATTATTATAACATCTTAAATGCCATGTGAGTTGTATTTACTCACACCTTGTTAGAACAATGCCTTATGTTATGCTCTAGTAGTAGACTGATTAAGTAGTAGATCACGTCAGAGGGAAGATGATAATATTGGGGGATTTTAACACTCCAATAGGTAATCAAGTAATACCCAGAATTAAGAGAAAGCATACTGAAGATGTCAAAAACGAAAATGGATAACTGATAATAAACTTCTGCACTGATAACGAACACAAAGTGTCTTTGACCACAAAGACCAACACAAATATACATTTAATAACACCTGTGAACAAAGATCTATAATAGATTATAGTATAATCCATGTTATCCACCATTACGCAAGAGAGATACCTCTAGGAATAATCAAAATAATTGAAAATACCTACCAAAACAACACAATAAAAGTAAAAGTAGAAGAGCTAACTGGCCGTATTGAAGCTGGTAATGCAGGTAATGGGATAAGACAGGGAGAGTCCCTACAAGAAGATATAATTATTGTTTAACGAGATTTTTCATATGTTTAGGAAAAAATATTCAACGTTTTATTGCAAATATTTTCCACTTTTACAGTTTTATATATGTTGTTATTAAATTTTTTTCCGGTTTCTTATCAGTAGCTTTATTATAAGCCGAAACATAATATTTTTTTCCATTGTGACATAACTGTGAATTCAAAAATTTTCAAAAAATTCATCAGTATTTCTTAGGGTTATATCTTTATGCTGTAAGAAAATTAACAAAATTGTATGTCTGCTTTTCCCGCTTTATACTTGGAAAAAAGTAGTTTTTTAGAGTTTTTTTGAAAACGAAAACATGAAGTTTGTTCAAAATTTGTCAAGATACTTCTAGTTGTCACATATACCTTCTCATTTTTTTTTTGAATTTGTAGTTTGTCTTTTGGGGGGTGCAGATCAACCTTAATGCAAAAGCAACGGAGTTGGGACCTCCCATCACCGATCCTCGCGGCAGGATACGAACTGACTGGGTGAGTACTCTAGACCTAGTGGTTCTGAACACAGGTCCGAAACCTACTTTGTTAGGAGAGGTAAAGGTACGTACATCAACGTGACCATGGCGACACAAGGAATCGCGGCGAAAGCAAGAGGCTGGAAGGTTTTGCCAGACTACATCGGAACTGAACATCAGTACATCGAGTTCTCGATAACTGGAACGGGGACCACTAACACGGTCCGTGCGTTCGGGACGTCGGGGGCAGATGCGTCGATTAGAGTGACTAGAGGAGCTAATTAAATGGAGAGTGAGCATAATGCAGGGTCAATCACCGACGGTGGAAAGCCTGGAGAGAATTATTAAAGAAGCGATGGAAAGAAGCAAGATTGGTCGCCAAGATGTCAACAGGATGCCATATTGGTGGAATCCGAACATCGAAGCACTAAGAAATCCGTACAGAAAAAAGAAGGCACTGGAAAGAGCTATGTGAAACGCTGGATGAGGACATCTGGGGTCAGGGATACAAGATCGTCATGAAGAAGTTCCATGCGTATCCTCCTTACGAAATGTCTACGGACAAGAAACTTGAGGTAACAAGAAAGCTCTTTCCGGACGGCAGATGTCATGGTGTATGGAGGGATGAAGGAGCTGAGCGGGCTGTACCATTTACCATGGATGAACTTATCGAGGCATTGGGTTCACTGAAGACTCGTAGGTTCCCCGAACTGGAACAGATGCCACCTGAGGCGGTGAAGGGTCTAGGACAGGTGGAGTCTGCGTGGATTCTGGAACACATGAATGGACTGCTGGAAGCACAAACCTTATATCGAAGGCAATTTGGTTTTTGTAAAGGTAAAAGCACGATTGAGGCAATCATGAGTGTACTGGAAGCATTGCGCAACAGAGGGGATGAACATCGCTGGGCGGCCCTGCTGTTGTTTGTTAAGAATGCATTCTATACACTGTAGTGGAACGAGGAGATGGTACATCTGCACGAGGTACACATTATGCACTGTGAATACGGAGAGGGTACAGCCCCTTTCGCATTCGCGGATGACCTCGCTGTACTGGTAGTGGCCCGGGATGAGCCAGATCTCAAATACCGTGTTCGGACGTAAAGATATGGATGACGCAGCACTGGCTGAAACTTGCGACAGAGAAAACCGAAGCCATCATTCTGAAGGGGACAAGGAACAGGCAAAGTGCTGAATTAAAATGTTCGGGAGCATGTCTAACACCCAAGAAACAAGTAAAGTATCTAGGAGTGTTGTTGTCTAGTTGTGTTGTATCTAGGAGTATACACGGTGTTGTATAGTCGATCGTCCTCTACGCGGCACGTGGCCTATAGGAGTCTCATGACAAGAGTGGACAGAACAAGTCTGTTACGAGTGGCATGTGCCTACAGGACTGTATCTGCGGCAGCCTTATGGACCATCACTGGATGTGTTCCGTTCCATGTTTTGGCGATAGAAAAAAAGAGCTTTATGAGAGAAGAGGCCCAAACCTTACTGTGGCCGAGAGAAGACAGAAAAGGGAAAGGTCAGTTGAAAGATGGCAAGAAGAATGGAACAACACGGAGGATATGGCACAGTGGACGAAAATGCTGATCCCAAACATAAGAGATTGGGTGAACTGTGGCCACAGGCGACTGGATTACTTCCTGACGCAGGTGCTCACAGGACACGGATGTTTTAGGGCCTACCTCTATAGGATCGGAAAAGCTGATACAGATGAATGCCTATACTGTGGATACTCGGACACTATGACACATACGATGTTAGATTGCAACAGATGGATAGTGGAAAGGAACAGAATGGAGAGAGAGACAGGTGTGAATTTTGTTACGTGAGAGAATGATTGAAAATAAATTAGGTTGGACTAACATACACAGCTATATCCGTGCAGTGATCAAGAAAAAGGAAGAGGAAGAAAGACAGCTCGACCAACGGCAAAGGTAAGAGTAAATGATGCTGAAAGGTGAAGCTAGAAATGTGGGCCACACTGTATGAGTTAGAATGCGTGAGTCAGACTGTGAGGAAGGATTAAATGCTCCTCTGGGAATGATTCCGAACTAGGAGCGATGAGTGTCTTCTACGCGCTATCTGGAACGAGACAGGGAGCATCCTTACTGATGAATAGTGTGGATGTGTATGAATGGAGAATGAATGAATAAAGGTAGTGCTTCGGAAGTGATGCCGGCCTTGCAGCGACCATTCCGCTTCCGAATCGCTGGATGACAGAGGAGGGTCTGGTTTAGCAGGTAGGTGTTCAGCGTAGACTCGGCGACGAGAGGGCATTTTAAAGTACCTCGGGAACTATCGCACTATGACAGGAATCCTGCACTATGATAGGTATGATTTTATCCAATTATAACCTGGCCCTCTAATGTCATATCTGTATAGCTTTTCCATTAGTATTTTGTGATTTAAAGTAACAAATGCCTTTGATAAATCTAAAAATATGTCCATGGATATATCTTTGTTTTCATAACCTTATTTATCTTTGTTATAAAATCATAATAAATGGTAGTCTCTATAGATTTGCTCTTAAGGTACCCATGTTGTGCATGTCATAGTAGATCCTCACTATAGAAAAAACTGAGAAGCCTGACACACATGATTGTTTTAAAAACCTTAGAGAATGATGGTAAGAGACTTCTTGGTCGATAATTTTCTAGTAAAGTGGCATCACCTTCGGTATTGTTTATTATATGACATAATGGTATAGCTAGCTCATATGCACACAGTTTTATTATATTTATAGCTATCCCATTATAACCTAATTAATTCAATTACTCCATTTATAGTTACTAGCCTTAGAAAAATGAGTTTTTGTTAAACTGTATTTTGGTGCTGAATTCTATTTTTGGTATATTTTGGCATAGACTTTTTGACTTATTTTGACTATTATATATTTCTTGCCCATGCTGCATTTTTCATGAATCCACAAGCATTTTATTATACTGACGTTTTTTGTTTGTACTCATCTTTGTAATGGTCATCTACTCTACTTAACATTAGAAAAGGTCCAAGCAACTTGGATTTATTTATTCCATTTGTGTTATAGTATTTGATACGTTTTTATGTTTATTTATATTTTTTTTCTGGAAAACATTGGTCAAATAACAAAGAAATGATTTTCATAAATCTTGGTGAACATGTTTCTGTTTTCCAGGTTCAAAGATACTATTCAGGATCATGATATAATTATTTACTCGGATAGCCAACCGGCTATGAAAATGTTGATAGATCCTATCGAACGATAGGCCTGCCTAACAGCCTGTTTTAAACCTCTGTACTTTATCTTTGATTGTAATATTTCCTTATAAAACTCGTTTATTAAAAATTACTGTAGATACATTTTCTATTTTTTAGGCACACAGCATGCTATAGGTATTCAAATTACATCTACTTTGCAGAATGCTTGTTGGCAACAGTTTTGAGTTTAAATTTATTTTATTATTTTATAAAAATGTTAAGAACTTCCCTGCCTTTCTGTGAACCTCTCATAATCAATGAAGAACAGAAGAAACTCCTAGGTGTTAAAGACTCAGGTAATTATATTACTGTTAATGTTCATTGTATTAGACGCTTAGTCTAAAATCGGATTTTTTGTCTAATATTAAATGATTTGTTAATATGATCTTAATACTTAAAAATAATCAAAACATGCATCCGGATGTTGGCAACCATCATAGCAATTGCATTTTATCAACTGCGGTAAGAAACAATTTCGTGGTTATTATGTTACATTAAGTTCTTAAATCATGAAGCTATGATATTCATCTTGTTCTCGGTCTCTTTTTGTCGTAAACTTTGTAAAACTAATTGAAGCAGTCTGTATTGTTGCTCCTTTTTTTGATGAAAGTTCTCGAAATGTCAATGGGACTATATGCATAATACATCACAGACAAAAAAACCATTCCAGAATTTTCAGATAGAAAAAATAGAATCATTCGAACATTATTTATTGCTAGATTATTCTGGAGATGAAAAAAGATATATATATATATATATATATATATATATATATATATATATATAGGGCCATGTAATTTGAAGGGAAGGAGTTCAAGTCAGTGAGAGTTCAGTTATCAATCAGTCAGTTATCAGTTAGAAGTCAGTTAGTTAGTTAGTTACAATAAAGTTATAATTCAAGAATTTAGTAACAAGAAGATTATTAATTGAGTTAAGTGAATTAGTTAGAAGAAATTAAATCAGTTACAAGATTATTATTGAGGAGTTAGTTATAACAATTCAATGATTATTAAGTCAGTTGTTTATGAGGTTATGAAGAGATTATTAGCTAGAAGAAGGCATTGATTAAGTTAAATGAATTATTAAGTTAAATACAGTTGGAGATTAATTATTACTACAGTAATATAGTGACAGTTTGAAGTTAATTCATTGAAATAAGCATTCAATAATACAACCACAAGATCCAGTATATTTCAAAGTACATTATATAGAAATTACAAGGAGTTAAATATATATATATATTTATATGGTGAGTGGAGATAATTAAGAAGGAACATATTAAAATAGTTGGATAACCAAGGCTTAGTAAGAAAATATCGAGTGGTGATAATAACTTTAATTTTGGAAAAAACTTCACTTTCACGCGTTCAGTGAAAGAAGGTACCAAATTTTGTTAATAATTTAATAATTGTAAGAATTTCAAATATAGGTTTGTTTCATAATAGTTATAATAAAGATAATTTAAAAAAGTACTTACAAACTAATTCTTTGAGAACCGCGATAAAAACCTATACTTACATATATATCATTCAAATTTACTCATAGCTCATACAACAACAACACATCATAACAATATATATATATATATATATATATATATATATATATATATATATATATATATATATATATATTGGAATAATAATTACATATACAAGAAATTAGCATAGTAATATTATGATGTTTAATTAATAAACTTACTTAAATAGTGGTTAAATTTGTGGTTAAATTAATTTATAAGTCATATACTAGCAAATATTATTAAAAAATAATTATATGAGGGTATTTTTGAAAATTTAGCATAGGATTAAGTTTTAAAAGTTTTTTACTGTATTTTATTCTATAAATAAATATATTTAAGTGAGCCTTGTGCATAGGCAACCAAATATACACTGTGTTATTTGACATTTTTACATATTTGACATATTTATTAGTTTGGGATTTTAATTTAAATATAATTATGGATGTAAAATAGTAGTATATTAGTGTAAGATATTTAGTTTATATATATAATAGTAAATTCTGATCTGAAAGCCTAAATGTCCATAAGCATCTCACTACAATTTTCTGGAGAACGTCAATACACAAGACAATTAGCCCTATTTGCATAGTAGATGATTCCAGAACTTTCATCTATGGATGAGATGAAAAGTTTAGAACATGATTTCTTTCCCGATCATTCTGGAACCATGAAAAGATATATAAACGATTTAATTTCGAGCAAGAATTCATTATTAAGTAAGTAACAGTTGATTCGTGAAGTTAGTAAAGTTAGAAGAAGGCATTAAGTTACAGGAAGTCATTAAGTTACAGTCAATTATTAAGTGAGTTATTTAGAAGAATTCAAGAATTAAGTTACATTAAGTCAGTCAGAAATTAAGTTACAGTTACTAAATCAGTTACTGTCAATTATTAAGTCAGTTACAATTGATTAAGTTAGAAGAATTCATGAAGTGATTAAGTCAAATTAAGTTAGAAGAAGGCATGAAGTTAGATGAAGTCAGTCAGTTAGTTACAATTAAATTAAGATTCATTAAGAAAGTTAGTTCAAGACAGTTATAATTAATTTAAATTAGAAGAAAGGATTAACTTAGAAGAATTAATTAAGTCAGATACAGTTGGAGAGTAAGAGAGTAAATTAATTCAATATAAATAGTTCAATACATGAGTATAGTATATTATATGGAAATTACAAGAATTTTAAATTATAATATCTATATGCAATTTCACAAATACAAGGATAACCGAGGCTGATTAAGAAGATATTTAGTGGTGATTATAACTTTGATTTTGGAAAACTTTAGGCATTCAGTGATAGAAAGGTACCAGATTTTGTTATTATAATTTAATAATTGTAAGAATTTAAAATTTAGATAGGTTGTTTTAAATTTATATTGTTTATATTAGATATATATGTCTATTGCATAATAGTTATAATAAAGATAATTTAAAAAAGTACTTACAAACTAATTCTTTGAGAACCGCGATAAAAACCCTATACTCACATATTTTATTTTAAACACTCATTGCTCATATACAAACAAAACATTACAATATATATATATATATATATATATATATATATATATATATATATATATATATATATATATATATAATGAGATAATAATAGATATTTAAGAAATTAGCATAATATTATTATGATTTTTAATAATTAATAAACTTAAATAGTGATTAAAGAAATAAAGAAATAATTTATAAGTTATATACTAGCGAATATTATTAAAAAATAATTATATTAGGGTATTTTTAAGAATTTAGCATAAGAATGTAAAAATTTTTTTTTTATTATTATTAATATATTTAATTGAGCCATGTGCATAGGCAACCAAATATACACTGTCTATGACATGACGATGCCTATTTTTGAACTAAATAAGTGACATGTAAAATGGGGTTATTTATTAGTTTGGGATGTTTGATTTAAATATAATTACTGATGTAAAATAGTGATATGTATTAGTTTAAGATATTTAGTTTATATATAATAGTGTATTCTGATCTGAAAGCCTAAATGTCCATTAAATTATCCATATAGGAGCAAGGAATTTTCTAGAAAACATGTCAATATAATGAAGTTGGCCTATTTATGTGGTGGACTGTTCGAGAATATTCAGATATGGATGAAATAGAAACAATTCGAACATGATTTATTGCTAGAACAGTCTCGAACGTAAAAAGGATATAAATACGAGGTAATTTGGAGCAGGCGGAGATTAAGGTTAGATTAAGTCAGTCAGTCAATCAGTTACGATTAAGTCAGTCATTCAGTTACAATTAAGTAATTAAGTCAGTTACAATTCATTCATTAAGTTAGTGACAGTAAATTAGATTCATCAAGACGGTTATAATTAATTAAGTCCGATACAGTTGGAGAGTATGAGAGTAAAGTAAGACAGTTAGTTCAATACAGTGATAGTTAATTATTAGTACAGTAATACAGTGACAGTATGGAGTTAATTCATTAAGAAGTTAAGCAGTCAATAGTACAAGCACATAGTATACAGTATATTTGAAAGTATATTATATGGAGATTACAAGAATTTTAAATTATAATATTTATATGGTGAGTGGAGATTATTAAGAAGAAACATATTTAAAATTGTTGGGAGCCGATAATTAAAATATTTTGGTATATTTGGAAAAAGCAATTTCACAAATACATCGATAACCGAGGCTGATTAAGAAGATATTGAGTGGTGATTATAACTTTAATTTTGGAAAACTTTAGGCATTCAGTGATAGAAAGGTACCAAATTTTGTTAATATAATTTAATAATTGTAAGAATTTCAAATTTTAGGTAGGTTGTTTTAAATTTATATTGTTTATATTAGATATATATGTGTGTTTCATAATAGTTATAATAAAGATAATTTTAAAAAGTACTTACAAACTAATTCTTTGAGAACTGCGATAAAAACGCTATACTTATATATGTTATTCAAAATTACTCATAGCTCATTACACAAACAAATCATCATAGCAATATATATATATATATATATATATATATATATATATATATATATATATATATATATATATATATATATATATATATATTGAAATGTATGTATGTATGTAAGGAAACTGTGGAATAGGTCGGGAGTGTTTTTTTAACTCGTCTAATTAGAATTTTAGTTTTTCCACAGCAGAGATATCCAGAATTTGTTCCAGAGAGTAAGAGAAACAATTTGACTTATAAATTATTTTGGAGTACAGAAATGTCATTTAAATTGAGAAATTGAAAATCATGAATTAACATAATTGCGATAGGCCTTAAAAATTGAAAATATTAATGATCATTAAATTAAAAATAGAATAGTACGTACCTTAACTTCCGAAGAGAGGATTGATATTCCAGTTTCACCGATTATTTTGCGAGTAGTTAGTTTTCTTTAAAGAAATCAGAACTGTTTTAAAGTGAGGTTGGATAATAATTTTGGGAATCATTTGAAATTTTGATTATATTTGAATGCAAGTTTAAAGTCAGCGGAATAAAGTGTTCAGTTTCTTTTTCTTTATAGTTCATTTAAACACTTTATAAAGTTGCAATATTTATTTAGTTTTTAGGTACTTGTAGAGAGTCTCCACATTTTGTAACAAATTTTTATTGTCACGACACTAAACCACATTAAGATTTACGCAATTCCTATTTTTGTAAATTTTTAAAGGCAATCCAAGTTGCAGACGAATTTTATTGTTTATATTAAATTTGTTCAATATTAATAATTAACGTGCTTCATTTGGGTTAATTTATCAAAAGTCTAAAGTAAATTTTGGTTTAATTTTTTTTTTAACTTTACCAGGAGACTACAGAGTCGACGTCACACAGTGACAGATTGCTTAGAACACATAATTAAGCTAGCTGAGATATATATTAAATTAAACAACGAACACATATTTTAAAAATTACAACATTAATTATAAAAAAAAATAAAATTAATAAAATACAACTTTTTCAATATATATATATATATATATATATATATATATATATATATATATATATATATATATATGAAACCTAGAGCTAAGATTAATATTATTACTAAAATTAATATCAAACTCACCAGTCTTCCGGTTTAAACCGCGTCGATATCCATTTTGCCGAGCTTTCGGCATCCTCTCTGATACCTTCTTCAGGGCTTCCGAGGTCTGTCTCCCGAGCCCCCAGACACTACTACACTGTTCACTAATCACTGCACTGTCACTACTACGGTTGGGAACAGGAGACGGTTCATTTATATCGTCGATGATGGCGTGGCCTAGGTGGGAGTTAGTGCTGGGTTTGGCGCGAACATTTCCGACTGTGGAATTTTGATTCGAGGATGGAGGGGGCGATATTTTCTTTATGAGAGGTCTCCATGTAGAAGGTAACCGTATGGCGTCATCTCTTTTATTAAGACAATTTGGCCTTTTTTTCTATTTCTATGGCTTTTCGGATAATTCTTGGTTTATATAAGCGGATGGGGGCTATGGTTCTGAAGTTTTCAAAATCGATTTTATGACCTGTATGAAGATGGTGTTGACCGAGAGCTGTAATTGAATCAGAATTGCGAACAGAAATGGAATGTTCATAAATCCTATTTTTGATTCTACGATTTGTTTGGCCTATATAGGATCGGGGACAGTCTGCACAAGGTATTTCATATACTCCGTGTTGTTCATTTGGAATATTGTCTTTGATAGATCAGACAAGAGATGAAAGTTTTTGTTGGGGAGTAAATATTGTTTTTATTCCTCTTGGTTTCAGAATTCTGTCGATTTTGTCAGTGACACCTTTGATATAAGGAAGAAAAGCTTTCGTATGATAAGGGTCTGAGTCTTTGGGTTGAGAATGAGTGGGAGATTGATGTCTGTGAATGCTCCTATTGATGTGATTTTCGCAGTAACCGTTTTGGATTAGGGCTTGTTTTAAACAAGAGAGCTCAGCGGGTCTACTTGCATCATCGGAAAGGCGTATTGATCTGGAGACAAGGGTATTAATGACTGAATTAATTTGTGAAGGTGGATGGTGAGAGTTGGCATGCAAGTAACGATTGGTAAGTGTGGGTTTTCGATAAACAGTAATGGAAACCTTGGGTTTGGTTTTTCTTGATGGATGGAAACCAAAACCTAGCCTAGCCTTACTAATACATGCCTGTATTTTGCAGATCCAGTGGCTACATACCGATTTTATGCACGACTTATCACACTTTGCGACACATTTGGCCTCAGCAACCTCTTGTTGAGTTATGCCTTGTTAGATCCAACGAACTAATTGCTCGAGCTGCACTAGTTCTAAACATCTTTGCGGCATAATGTTTTTGTGATAAATAGATTTCTTGACTTATTGACAACTGGTAAAGCCAATACAAGCACTTTTATACGAATGATATATTTATGTTTGGAACAACATTTCTCTCTTTGTACGAGATAAGGGCCGATAAGAATAGGGAGAAAAAACCACATGCAAAAAATATTGGCCATAAAGATAGCATATAGAGTATAGTACAGGGACTTATTTTAAAAATAGTTTTATATGTTAATTTTAGGAATTTTAAAATTATCCACTTCAATTGTTGAGTAGTATATTTAAAAATAACCAGAAACCGATCACGAGACGTTGCATTTGACACAGCCAGGCTGTAGATGTCTGCCGATTTCTCCCAATATATTGTTCGATTCGGATGTTTCACATATCTAGAAAGCAACCAAATAGCCAAAAATTTATATAACTTCAGGAACAATTGTAAAAGATTCATTTCCATTTTTGTACTTCGCCTATTTTTGGGACTCTTCGCAAATTTATTGATCAAATTTCAATGGCCAGAAAAGCTTAAAAAATCAATTGGACGACCTCCTGACTCGATCATATCATTTATGATTTAGGGTCGATTTTGAAGTGTATTTTTTCTTTTTAAATTAAAATCCTTTGGCAACTTTTCTTCAAAATGCAAGGATTTCTACGAACGTTTCGTTTTTTCGACTGTTAATTTTTAAGCTTAGGTATGTTCTTTGCTGATCTTGATCTCACTTTTAAAGTTGAGGGTTTCATATTTCCACCTGAGAGCATTCTGCTAGTGTAAACCAGGGTCCAATAAATTCACTCTATTAGTATTCACCAAATTCACTTTTGACCGAATTTACTTGTTTCGTCATTTTGTTTTGCTTTAGAAGCCACATGTTTAACTAAATACACAAAATAACCGTTAAAATGTAAAAACCACACGTTTAATTGATATTTGACACAATAAACAGAAACCAGCGACGTCTTTTCGCTGCACGGTTAAACTAAAATGGCATGTTTGGCCTATGAATATTTAGACGGTAGGTTTTGAGGGGTTAACATGATAACAATAACTCTCTTCTAGACATGAAGTACTGTATACTTTATTAAAGGATTCTGTAATAAAGGACGCTGTCATCTTATGGTTTCAATAACTCACACACCAACACAAACACCCACGCGCGCGCACACACATTTTTTTTACCTTTTTCAAAATATTTTTATTTACGACTAACATACAAACTAGCATTGAAAATACGATACTTGTTATTTTGGATTTTAGATCCCCATTACAGAGTAGTAAAAACACCAAATAAGGGTTCCACTCCTCAAGATAGTAACACATCAACACCCCTCAATATCACCTTTAAGAAATCAAGTATATCTCAATTTGAGCCTGATAGTAAGTAACAGTGGTAAATAAAAATCCCTATTTTTTATTCATGTTGTTTAATTTCATATTTCATAACATTTATTTTTAGGTTTAAACTATTCTACGTCCTCTCCTTCTTGGATTTATTTTAAAGGAACACCAGACCGAAGCTCTAGTCATTTCTCATCTACGTCTTCTCCTATTTTTCAGGCATCCGTAAATAAATCTTCTTTCCGTGATATTTCTCCGGTAGAATTTATCAGTGATGAAGATGCCCTAAGAAAATATTTGAAAGAGCATAAGGAAATCGAAAAAGTTAATAAACTCTCCTGCAAAAAACAGAATTCTTCAAATTTATTGAGTTCCTTTTGGAGCCATCCTGTAACACAAACAGCTAAAGACGTATCAGAATATCTTAGAAAGTGTCAATACCAACTTTCTTCACAAATCATTGGTAGGTAATAATATTCTTAATATACGAGTACTATCATTTTTTAATGAATTAGTGTTTTACAAAACAGTTAAAGTTTTATTCTGTAAAATATTCTGGTATAGTATACGACAAAGTCGAGTTTAGCCACGATCTTCAGCCACCGAATGGCAGAAGCGATTATTTTATTTATACTTAATTGAAAAGTTTCTATTCTCATTATGATTAATAATGTAAATATGTTTAATTTATTTTAAAACTTATTTCACCCGGCAATAAAAATCAATGGAGTATGTTGAAACTTAAAATAAAATTATATTTAAACATATTTACCTTATACTGCTTGTTTTGGGACCAGCATAATTTTGCAAATTTGACATTTTTTGCAGATTCTGGATTGCAAAAATATTTTGTAAAACCTACTAGACCGATGCTAACGAAATTTAACGCAAATTAAGTCGTAATATAAAGTTTTTCTAGGCGAAATATGAAAGTTGTAAGTTATAATAATGCAATATCTCTCGAGTTATAGGCGAAAATATGGGCACAAGAATATAAAATTTTCAATTTTTTTCCGATTTTTTTCAAATAAAAAATTAAGCACAAGGTTTGCGACTGGCGCATATCGTGATTATTGATACAAGATATATAACTGAAGTGATTCTAGCAAAAAATAGACTCCTAAATAAAAAATGTTCATTATGGTCTGCTTTTTGACAGATCCTGATGAAGCGATTTTTTTCCGATTTTTTTCAAATAAAAAATTAAGCACAAGGTTTGCGACTGGCGCATATCGTGATTATTGATACAAGATATATAACTGAAGTGATTCTAGCAAAAAATAGACTCCTAAATAAAAAATGTTCATTATGGTCTGCTTTTTGACAGATCCTGATGAAGCTTCAGGAAATGACTAATTTCATTCCTGAGAATATGGGTATTTTAACTATAAGACTAAATTTTAACTAACTTTAATTTGAACTTAAACATACGAAATAATTGAAAATATTTCGTCAAGTTCCATTTTCTTAAAGGGAAACTTGGCAACATGTACATTTTGTAATTTTGTAGGTAAGGTCTACTTCTAAATGTGCCTATCTTCTAGAGATGTTGGCGACCACATTGATCCATCTTATTCTATTCACAGCAGCTCGAAATAGATCAGTTGACGTTAGAAAAGTCCATCTCCTAAGAATGGCCAGCTAAGATATACCTCTACGTCCAGGGCCACTCTTACCCTCAATCAAACCGCAAAGTGGGCGACGCCTGGTGGTAGATTTCAAAGGCACCCACTTCGGAAAAACCTTGAAATTGTCATTATTTTGTATACATATTAGCGACCGGTTTATATTGTAATTAACAATGACTTCGACTTCAAAAAACTAATGCAGTGTTCCTCAATGTTCATCCTATTATATTTCACAAAAAAAATTCCATACATAAGTTTCATCTGGACGAGAATATGAGAAAAGTTTGGCAATGCATTTTGCGAATTGGCAAACCTATAACCAAGTACATGACTGTGTGCAGTTCATTTTACTGTCATCAGTATATTTTACTGAGAACGATTACTTTCCTACTGTTGATTAAAATATTATTTTATATTTTAATACATTTATACCTAATTTACTTTGTAGTAACACCTGAAACTAAATTGAGAAGACTAAAGAAAAATGCTGTTCCATCAGCTAAATTGCCCCAACGGTATCATGAAGTTATTATATAATATGAATAATTAAGATAATGTAAATTTTACTTCCCGTGTTTCAGACATACTGTAGAAAAACAAACATTTAATTTTATTTTTATTCAGGTTTGGGAGTCAATTACCTTGTGTATAAACTCCAATCTCAAACAAATAAACTTTGAAGAATGTACTTCAACTTTTACTTTGCCAAAATACACATGTAAATGATTTATATTAAACGTTTTATAGCTTAGAGATCAAATGACAAAATTATTTGTTTTACCGAAGTTATCGTCCATCTTTGAAATTTTCAGCGCCCCCTGTCGGAATTGGCTGTCGCGAATAGAGTCAACTGTAGAAGTTGGTATTTATCATTACGCATGATGTGGCCGAAGTAAGCCAATTTTCTGTTTTTATGGTGTTAAAAATTTCTTTGCCTTTGCTTCATTTTTTTCCAGCTTTGATACATGAAGGCTCCATTTGATGAACGTTCAGGTTTCTACTCCATAGAGGAGGACACTAAAGACGTAACATCTAAGAATTCTTATGCGTATATTGGTACTTAAAGATAAGTTGCAGATACTCTTCCTAAGGCTATTGAAAAAGCTTCTGGCTTTTTCAATACCAGTTTTTATTTCGTAGCTGTGATCCCAAGTATTCTTAATATTGCAGCCTACATGTGTATGTAACGTGTATCGTTAATTGTGCACCAAAATTGTACAATTGAAACACCAAAACATATAATGAGGCAAACACCAGTAGGAAGAAGGTCAAAGTGAAGGCCCATACTTAGATACATGAAACAAGATCTGAAGATTAACATTTAAGATTACCAACTGGAAAAACAAAGCAAGAAACAGAACAGAATGACGGAAAATCCTAGAACAAGCCAGGACCCAGAAAGAGTTGTTGAGCTACTAACGATGTAACGATTTAATTGTAATTTGGGGAGATTATGCCGATGTTCTTACTAATGATCATTATTTTTGTCTTCTTGCAATTTAGTTTTAGGCCGTATTACATGTTTCTACAACGTTATCCATCACCCTTTGGAGCCTCTGCGCACTATCTACCAGCAACACTGTATCGTCTGCATATCCAATATTGTTTATAAGTTGGCCATTTACAGCAATCCCATCTTCTGATTCGTCCAAGACCTCTCTAAAGATGTTTTCAGAGTATATGTTAAATAATGCCGGTGACAATATGCAACCCTGTCTAACTCCTTTTTCGACTGTGAATATCTCGGAGAGTTCATTTTCTAATCGTACTGTTGCTTTTTAACTATAAGGACATTTATTTATTTATTTATCGTATGGCAATTACAACACGTTTAGAACAAAATTACAAACACTAGTAATATAGGTATATGATAAACTTTAAATAGTTACAAACAAACATCAAGTGTATTAACATAATCAATTGACTCTGAAGTTGCAAACAGGAAGTCTTCAGGGCTAACATTGTAGGATCTTGAGGGGCACTCTTCAATAATGTGGTCGATCGTTTGGTTCTTTCCACAGTCACATTGAGAAGACGGATTCTTTCCCCATTTATGTAGCATTTATGCACATCTGCCATGTCTGGTTCGGATCCTGTTTAGAGTGGACCATGTTTTACGTGGAAGATCAAAACCTGGTGGCTTGAGGGTAATGCAGGGCATGTTATTTTGCCATGCATTCCATTCTTGACACCATGCATTCGTGGTGTTGAACTCCTCATGTATCATTCTTGCCGTTTTCATTGGTGGTTTTCTAGAACGTAGACGGGTATTTCGTGCATCCTCGGTATCTTCGTGGATCGGCAGGTTTATATTGTTTATAATCTTTTTGTATTCACGTGTAAGTGCGTCAATGCGTCAACTCGTCGTAAATGTGGAGGTGGGATGTGACTTAATACTGGAAGCCATTGGGTGGGAGTTGATTTAGTTGTACCAGCTATCATCCTCATAGTGCTGTGCAGCTGAGTATCGACCTTTTTTACGTGTGGACTGTGTAGCCAAACTGGGGCACAATATTCAGCGGTCGAGAAAACAAGGGCTAAGGCAGTAGAGCGGAGAGTGGAAGCCGATGCTCCCCAGGTGGTACCGCAGAGCTTCTGTATAATGTTATTTCTGGTACTCAACTTTTGGGCAGTTTTTGTTAAATGCTTTTAAATGATAGCGTTCTGTCTAGTGTTACGCCCAGGTACTTCGGTGTTTTGTTATGGGAAAGTGTGGTTTTTCAAGTTGTGGAAATTTTCAAACCGTATGTTGAGTTCCTTTCCAGCAAGTTTATTGTTCAGGTGAAAGCAACTAACTTCTGTTTTGGATGCATTTGGTTGAAGCCGCCACTTACGAAAATATTTGCTCAATATATATATATATATATATATATATATATATATATATATATATATATATATATATATATATATATATATATATGTAAATACTTTTTTCTTTTTGGGTGTGGTAGTCAATAAAAAATAGAGCTTTGCTAAGGCGTACTATTTATTCTGAAATCCGAGCTTTCGGTGGTTATTTGCCACCTTTATCAAGGTCTACAATGAAAATTACTGTGTTATAACATTAGGCTGATGTAATATAAAAGTTATAAAAACTTACCAGAAAGTAAGATTCATAGCATATAAAACACAACGTTAAATAACATAATGTGATCTGAATTATTGAAGGCATTAACAATTTTAAAAACTTTAAAATACTTAAAAATTAAAGAACATGTTACAAAGTTTAAAAAGTAAAAAATAAGACGACATGTTTGACAAAAAACAGTCGTCTTCGCAGGTTTGAATTCAGTCACATCTCACGAACAGAAAGAGGTAGTAGGAGGAACTATTGTTGTTTAAATAGTTCGATGTAACTACAAAAAACAAACTTTCAAACTGATGTCTAACAAAATGCCGTTTGTGATTTTAAGTACTACCAACCATGTTACCAACTTAGAATTGAGAGGGAAATTTAAAAAAAGGTTTTATTATGTCAAAAAATAAAAAGAAAATAGTATTTAGTAAGTAGGTTTGAAAAAACAAACAACCAAAACAAAATGAACATCTGAATAATAACTGAAGTTAATCATGATAATTATAGCAATTAATAATGGAATTTACGAAACATGAAGCACTCTGAGATACAGAAAACCCTAGTCAAAAGTCAAAATAAAATTGTAAATTTTGCTAAGATTCTGGATCTCAGATCTTTTATTCAGATTGTTGTTATCACTCCTGCTGATATGTACCATTTCTAAGAATGTTCTCTTAAATTTATTTTTCTCTCTGGCTAATATTTTAACATTGTTGAAATCTATCTTATGGTCTAGATCGATAGTGTGTTCTGCCA